AGCCCATCGGGAACCGAGTTCTGCCCCAGGAAGTGAGCTTGCAGGCAGATCCTTTCTCAGGCCAGCTTTGAGCTAGAGGAGTTTAAGCTGACATCTTGACTGCAGTCTCGCGAGGGACCTGAGCCAGGGGACTCCGGAACACCAGCGCTCCCGGATTCCTCACCCACAGAAACCGTGATCCTAAGTGCTGTTCTTTAAAGCCACAAAGCTCGGGGATAATTTGCTACACCGTGAGAGTGAAAGTGTTAGCCACAGTTGTGTCCGGCTGTAGCCCGCCAGGCTCCTCTGCCATGGAATTCTCCAGGCAAGAATACTGGAGTGGGTTGCCATTCCCTTCTCCAGGGCTCGAACCCAGGTCTCCTGCAGGCAGATTCTTTGCCATCTGAGCCACCAGGGGTGCCCTATTAGTAGTTACTGTTACACAATAGTAGATCACTAATACACACAGCCAAAAGCAGGAGGTAGGGGAATTTGGGGCTCACTTAACTGAAAAGCCCAAGAGTAGAGTTTGTTTCAGGTCTGGCTGGACCCAAATGCTCAAAGATCGACAGGGATCTGTCTGTCTTAGCTTGGGTTTCCATGGGAACAGAGCCTGGCACAAAGACCTGGGTATAAATGGTTTATTTGGGAGGGGATTACAAGAAACAGGAATGAGAGAGTGGGGAGACTGAGACCAAGAAGGACCAAAGAGTAATAAAGTTTGTGTTTTCAAATTTTTTGCCATAAGCAACATGAGCCGGACTCCTCTAGAACCTCTGAGAGGCAGCTGTGCCTGGGATCAAGCATAAGATGATGCAGGATGCCAAAGGCCTCAGCACATCCCTCCATCTCTCAGTTTCTCTCCTCTCAGATGCCTGTAGCATCAGGCAGACTGTAGCCTTGGGTTCTTTTCCAACAACTCAGCAACCCCTGGGAAGAAAGCTCCTCTTTCTCAGTAGCTCCAGCCAGTGTCCCTTGTTTGCATTTCACTGGACAACAAAGAGGCCCTTGCAGCCCAACAACAAAGAGTCCCTTGGACTGCAAGGAGATCCAACTAGTCAGTCCTAAAGGAGATCAGTCCTGAATATTCACTGGAAGGACTGATGCTGGAGCTGAAACTCCAATACTTTGGCCACCTGATGCAAAGAACGGACTCATTGAAAAAGACCCCAATGCTCGGAAAGATTGAAGGCGGGAGGAGAAGGGGATGACGGGGGATGAGATGGTTGGATGGCATCCCCAACATGATGGACATGAGTTTGAGTAAGCTCCGGGAGTTGGTGATGGACAGGGAGGCCTAGTGTGCTGCAGTCCATGGGGTCACAAAGATTCAGACACGACTGAGTGACTGAACTGAACTGGACAACAAAGATCATGTGCTCATTCCTGAACCAACCACTGTATCAGTTGGCTAGGACTGTCTAGAGCTCTCCGTGGAGCTGTAGGTCAGAGTTAGTTCCTGTATTGAAATTTTGAGAAGAAGAAAAAAAAGAAGAAGGAGGAGGAAGAGAAGGGGAAGAAAGGGAAGGAAAGGAAGAAGGAGGAGGGGGAAGAGAGGAAGAGGAGGAGGAAAAAGAGAAGGAAGGAGGGAAATGAGGGAAAAAAAGGGAAGGGGAGGGGAAGGAGGGGGGAAGGAGAAGAAGAAGTAGATGCCAGCAGGGAAACAGACATCCACGAAGTCTGCATGACTCATGATTCTTATTTGTGGATTATGAGATCAATTTAGGTGATGAATAATCTCCATTTTTTAAAATAGAGTAAAACAGTGGTTTTCAAACTCTAGTCTCATTGGAATCACCCAGAAGGCCTGTTGAAACAAATTTCTAGGCCTTACCCCCAGAAGCTCTGGTTCAGCTGGTCTGGGATGGGTCTCAAGAAACTGCAAGTTCCCAGGTAACGCTGATGCTGCCGGTCCAGGGACCACACTTTGAGAACCACTGGAATAGAAACTATCAGAGTGTACTGGTGATAATGAGAGTGCTTTGTCCCATGGAACCTTGGTTCCAGTGACGTATGCATGTGGGCATGGACAAGGTCATTATGTGAAAAGACATTTCTTACTGAAGTTACCCCAGTGCCATGAGATTAAGTAATCTGCCAAAAGTCACAAGCTGCTAGGTGAGGGAACAGGGCTTTGAAAGCAGGTCTAACAACAGGCTTCGAACCATAATGCTATACTGACTGTGACTGAACATGCAAGTAAATCACTATAGGATTTGGATGAGTTATCAAGCTGTGTTTGCCACATGAAGAAAGTGAGGGTGCAAGATAAGCTGGTGTAACAAATAGACCTCAAAATATATTGACTTAATGAGATAGCGTTCACATATCTCTCACATGATGGTCCAAAGATCCATAGCCAGGGCACCTCTGCCAGCCTTCACATAGGCCTCCATGCTGGGTTCTGAGGGGTCTGCTCCAGCCATGGGAAGAAGGGAAGGGGAAAGGAAGTCCTGTCCTTTTAATGATCCAACCTAGAAATGGCCAGTATCACTTTTTTATTCACATCCTATTGGCTGATCCCAGTCACATGGTCAGATTAACCACAAAGGAGACTGGGAAATGTAGTCTTGAGCTGGAGAGTCACATACACAGGGGACAAGTGGCAAGCTCTACACCACCTGAGGTGGTGGCCTGAGGTGCCTGACCGAGGCACCCAGGGGGCGGAGGGCCGACCCCGGAAGGACCCCCAGGGGGTTGCCTATTGGTGGTGTCTTCACAGAGGACCAGACAGTAGACCAGCCTCACTCCCCCAAAACAGGTCCAGCCACCCTTCCGCAGCCCTAGCTGTGGATCTCATACTAAACCCCAACCCAGACTATTCTAACTTAACAATTCCTAAAGGTTTCTATGGAGAGCATATTTTCCAGTTTATTACATCATGTCAAGTAAAGCTTTGGATTTAAGCTTCAACGTTTATTTACATAAAAAAAAAATGCTTGCTTCATCCAAAAAGGATGCTGGGTGGATATTAATAAAGCTATGTACTTCGAGCCAACAAAATAATCGCCTCTGGTTGAATGGGAGTGAGACCACATTAGACTTCACGCCAGGGCTCATTTTGACTGGCCCTGCCACTGTCTTATTCCCAACTGCAGATGCTTCTTTTTCTAATGTTTCTGAAAAAGCAGTGACTCATAAACAAGAACAGATTTCTCTTGCTTGCAGAAAAGGTAAATTGCTGGCAGAAATAAATTTGCAGATGCTAGGATTTCAGAGAGAGGAGCTGGCTGATGGAGAGGGTTTGCCAGCCTGCCCTGCTCCTCCCTCCCCTCCCTCATCTGCACCCTTTATCTTGCCTACCAGGACAAGCCAGGTACTGCTGGGGCCTTGCTGGGCCTGATATTGGGGGTGGGGAGGAGCTGGGCTCCACCTCTGAGAACGACTCCTCTGTTTACCTCCCGGGCTGTCCCAGTTCCTGGGCCTGGGATTGGGCCGGGGGCCCCTGAGGTGGAGCATACCGGCATCCCAGCTCTGCACGGTACACCGACCTCGATTTATGTGGGTTACTCCCAGCCTGTGGACCTGTCGCCTGGCAAGGAGGCCGGTGGGACCTACCCAGGGCCTGAGGGAGGTGCTTCCTCGCTCAGGCAGACCATGGGACCCAGGTCAGCAGCAGATGGGCTCAGATGCCAGAGCATCTTCCCTCTGATTTGAGGGAAGAGTTGAGGGCCTGGGGCAGAGTCTAGAAACTTCCTTCTCTGACACAGAATCAAAGGAAGAAAAGGGGTGGGCAGAAGCGGCTGCCACATGCTCTCACCATGCCAGGCCTCCACGTGCATCTTCCCCAGCCATCACAGTCACCCTGGGAGGTTACTGTACCCATTTCACAGATAAGGAAACTGAGTCACCAGGCAGGGAAGTCACTTATTCACAGTGACACACCCTCTAATGGCAGATCAGGGGCTCAAGGTGACCCTGTAGCTGTCCCCATTTTCCTTCATTCCTCCCTTCTCATCCTCCCTCTCTCCACTCCTCCCAGTCACCCCTCCTTACTGGAACCCTGACCCCCTCCTCCTCTCCACTGTTCTTTCTACACTAAGCACTGAGCATCCAAGGGAGAACATTCTTCCAAAGAAAACAAATGCGGAGGAGCCAGCAGTGGGGGCAGGCGACCTCTGAGTCCAGCGGGAAAAACTCAGCTCCCAGCGGAGGCAACGACCTCAGAGATCCAGGCCAAGTGAGGCCTGGGTCCATCTCCAACTCCCACTGACACCCAAGGACAAGTTAGATTTGCAGTAGCTTCCAGGCATAACCAGAACCACCTTAGCAACTAGGTCTTAAATTGTTTAATATCCCACACTTCCCTCTCATGCCTAAAATCTCCCCTTTTGATAATCTGATCATTTCAGCTTCCAGTTTCTGTTAAAGTTGAGGCTTCTGCACGTCCCAACCCACTGCACTCCCAAAAGGGGTCCATCATTTGCACTCTAGTGTAAGTAAGTCTCGACCCTTCCCTGAGACAGGGTGTTAGGATGTTACTGAGAGAAGTTAGCCCCAGGGAGAACCATGGGCGCTCTCCACATCCACACTTCTCCAGCAGCCAGAGGGACTCCAGGCTGCATTGCCTCCAAACAGTCCAGGGCTGAGAGGCGCCAGATGTGGCCAACGGCTGCCCCCGAGCAGGTCAGGTGCCTCCGCACACTAATGCCTAGCATGGGAAAGGCCTGACTGAGGTCCCACAGGCGGCAGATGCTGAGCCAACTCCTGCGTTGCCATGGCAGCCTCGGAACGGGGGAGGGGCGAGGAGACAGCACTGTGTCTTATGCCGAGATTACAGGAGGGCACATGGGGGGATGGATGTGAGTTTCAGATGTTATCCTTCCCTCTCTTCATCCCAGGATCTGGATGTCCACCCAGCTGTGAGGCCAGGTGCAACCGAGGAGCTTCCAGGCCCGCAACCCTGGCACAGAGGCTCAAGGACCTACTATGCACAGGATCCTCAAAGACAGCAGGGGTCCCAGAGGCAACATCAAAGGGCAAGAGAGGCCCCCCAGGACCTGTCCCCTTTGTCTCTACAGGAGGAGAGGCCCGTGCCGAGGTGTCTGAGTGGTACCAGCATCCAGTGCGAGTTCCAGCCCGAGCTGATCCACTTGCCTCCAGGTCCCTAAAGGCAATTCTCTCCCTGGGCCTGCCTGTGCTGAACCACGAGACTCAGCAGGGAATACACACACTGGACCTGAAAGCCCTTCCCCTCCCCACCACCAGAGACCACCCTGGACCTCAGAGGATCCACCACTGTGTGCACCCACCCCCAACATGCACACACACTTGCACATGCAGTGTGTACACACACCATGCACACACAATCTGTACACACATGGCATGCATCACACTGTGTACATGCCCATGTGCACACGCAACTTGAACACACAAAAAGCGTACATAAAATTTGCGCACACACAGTATGCATACATGTATACACAAAGGTGTACACAAAATAAATACACACACTACTTTACGCACAGTGTGGTCACACACATGTACATACAATGTGCACATGCAACATGAACACATACAACGTGCACACACGCACACACTTGGAGGTCACATGCAGCGCACCAGCATATTCAGCACGTGCTCAGGGTGTGAGTGCGCTGTGTCTCTGCCCCACGGGTTGCTTTATCCACCAACGCACATGCACACATACCGTGCACAGCTCATGTACACAACATGCACATGGGCGATCCCTACACTGGGCAGAGAAAGGGCCCAGCAAGAACTGAGGCCAACACACCCACACGCCTGCCCGCGGCACACACAGTGAGCACACAGAACAAGCATCGCACGCGCGTGAATCATGTCCATGAGGTGTGCCAGGAGAGGAAGCCCACACTGCACGCGCACCCCAGTACACGCACAGCACCCTCAGTCCTGCCAGGCCGCCCGGGAAGGGGCAGAGAGAGGCAGGGAAGCCCTCGCCCACCCCTTGTCCCTTCAGGGACAAGCTAAGGCCTGGAGGGTCATCCACAGAGACAGGCTGGGGCCTGGGGAATTCCTGACTCAGCTCCTTAGGACGATGAGGTCAGGGACCCATGCCCCTGGGAGGGCCCAGGAGGGAGTGTCTGGGCCGCAGCCAGGCCTGGCAGCCCTGTAATCACTGGGGACAGCGGTGGGGCTAGAGACCAGCCCCAGGGAGGCCCCAGGAGCCAGGCCGAGGCCCGGGGTGGGGCGGGCTCTGCCCTCCTGGCTCCTGCCTTCTCTTGGTTACACGCACCGGGCCAGGAGCCAAGCTGGTGTGGAGGAAGCTGAGCAGAGAGCTGCAGATTGGGAGTCAGGAGGCCTAGTATTGCGCTTGGCTCTGCCTCTGCCCAAAAGGGCGCCCGGGGCAGGACCCACCAGACTGAGCGCTGGCTGCCCCCTGGAGCGCCCGGGGGAACAACCCTGGCCAGCTGCCCTTCGCGCTCATACAGAGGCCTGGCCTCCTAGTCACCTAGACTTCTGACCCACAGGTGGAACGTTCCACGGTCAGGGTCCTGGCCCCACACCTCCGGGAATCTCCAGCACCAGCACTGGATGGGCGCATGGGAAAGATCAGTAAAAGGCTTCACCACCCCTGGAGAGCCTGGTCCCCCATCCGGTCTATGGGGAACAGGTACAGGCTCCCGCTGGGTCTGCTGTTCTGAGCCACCAAGTCCAGAGACATGCACACCTCTTGGGGATCCAACTGCCCCAGCAACAAGAAAGCAGCACCCAGCTGGAGGTCAGAATGCACAGGTTCTAGCCACTGACTCTGTGTGGCCTTGGGCAAGTCCCACTCCAGGCCTCAGTTTCCCCCTGTCTAATGAGGAGGTTGAATAAGAGCTGGTCTCCAGGGCACATCCAGTTCTGAGATCCCAGGTCACCAGAAGCAGCAGGCGAGCCTGGCAGGAGGGGGCGGATCTGCGGGGGGGGGCTTGAGGTTTCCTGAGCCTCCTCTGGGTCACACAGTCTCCCCCACGAGGCAGATGCCAGCAGCATCCCCAACTTACAGTTCCAGACAAGGTGGCTTAGCAAGGCCCCACAGCCACCCTCCCAGTAAACGGCAGAATCAAGACTGAGTCCCTGGCCTTCCTGGTGGCTCAGTAGTAAAGAGTCCACCCGCCAGTGCCAGAGACACGAGTTCGACCCCTGACCCGGGAAGATCTCACGAGCCACGGAGCAACGAAGCCCGTGGGCCACAACTCCTGCGCCTGTGCTCCAGAGCCTGGGAAATGCAACTGCGGAGGCCCCGTGACAACTACTGTCACACACCCCAGAGCCTGCGCTCCACAGCAAGAGGAGCCACCGCGACAGGGAGATCGAGCGCTGAGACCAGGGACTAGCCCCCGCTCTCCACAGCTGGAGGGAAACCCACACAGCGACGGAGACCCAACACAGCCGAAAATAAATGCGCAAATAGATAAAGCTATTTTTTAAAAAAGACTCAATCTCACATTTATCTTTGACCTTCAGTTCAGTTCAGTTGCTCAGATGTGTCCGACTCTTTGTGACCCCATGAATCGCAGCACACCAGGCCTCCCTGTCCATCACCACCTCCCAGAGTTCACTCAAACTCATGTCCATTGAGTCGGTGATGCCATCCAACCATCTCATCCTCTGTCGTCCCCTTCTCCTCTCGTCTTCAATCTTTCCCGGCATCAGGGTCTTTTCCAACGAGTCCGATCTTCGCATCAGGTAGCCAAAGTATTGGAGTTTCAGCTTCAGCATCAGTCCTTCCAGTGAATATTCAAGACTGATCTCCTTTAGGATGGACTGGTGGATCTCCTTGCAGTCCAAGGGACTCTCAAGGGTCTTCTCCAACACCACAGTTCAAAAGCATCAATTCTTCGGCGCTCAGCTTTCTTTATAGTTCAACTCTCACACCCATACATGACTACTGGAAAGATCATGGTTTTGAATAGATGGACTTTTCTTGGCAAAGTAATGTCTCTGCTTTTTAATATGCTGTCTAGGTTGGTCATAGCTTTTCTTCTAAGGAGCAAGCTTCTTTTAATTTCATGGCTGCAGTGAAATCTACACATGGGCAGTTTTTCTAAGTGGTTTACATGTATTAACAGAATCTGTACAAAAACGCCCAAATGGGTTCTCTGATTATCCAGATTTTAGAGAAAACAGAGGCCTCTGTGTTAAATAACTTGTCCAAATCCACACAGTAGAGACAAGCTGGAGTCTGAAGCCGGGTGGGCAGTCCCATCCAGAACTTAAGCTCCCGACCATTACACTAACCCACCTGTCTGGTTCCCCACCCCCACCCTACCACCCCAGGCGAGCAACAGATAATCCCCAGCCGGGGTCAGACCATGGGTCACAGCCACACTCTTGGCCACTGACTGTGTGTATCAGTCATCTCCTGACTCACTGATACTGTGTAACAACCACAAACCTCAATGGCACGCAGCAATAAACATTCATTTTCCCACCAGTCTGCAAGGCAGTGGGGGGTTTGGCTGCTCTGGACTCGGGCTCAGCAGATCTCAGCTTGTCCAGCTCACAGGTCGGCTGATGGTAGGCAGGTGGGCTGGGCCTGAGGTTGGTCCCATGCTGACCTGTCTGACAAGTGGCTGATTGTCAGCTGGGGTGACCGAAGTGACCCGGCCCTGGGTCTCTCCTCTGGCAGGCCAGCCCAGAATTGCTGAGATGCACGGTCACCTCCTCCACGCTGCACTGACCAAAGCAAACTGCCAGAACAACCAGGCTCACGGGCCGGGGAAATAGACCCCACCTCTCGGGGGCAGAAGCTGTGAAGTCATTTGGTAAATGGTGAGATGACAGAGGAAAGGGGAGAACTGGGCGTATTTTTGCCATCCATCCACCACACCATGTGTCTATTTCCATGTTCATTTTCACACCTCCTCTTAGTCTCAACTCACAGAAAATCAGGGCTGGGCCAAGCGGGGCCTCGAAGCGGCCAGTCCCTTAGTCACCCATTCTACAGACGGGGCCTGAGGCCCAGAGAGGGCCCCAGCCCGGGACACACAACCTGGCTGCTTCCCCGGCCTTGGAGCTGCTGGCATCCTCAGGTCAAGCCCCCGAGGGGGCGCCTAGCACAGAGCCCCCAGGAAGACGACTCTCCCCTCAGCCCCCCGGCCTCCTGCTCTCCAGACTGAACACTCCGTATCCACATGAGTCACCTTTGTGCAGTTGTCTTTCCCATCCAAACTGTCTTCACCTAATATTCAAGCCCCAGATCGCCCCAAAGGGGAGCAGAAGCAAACCTATTATAACAACCAGCCTTCGCATTTACTGAGCACATTGTTCTAGGCACTTGTCGTGCTGTAACTTATGCAATGCTCACACCAACCCCAGCTGCAGACAGGAAGAGTGCGGTTCCAAGAGGTGAAGGACACGGAGCGAATCAGTATCAGACTGGGGACACAAGCCTAGCTCAGTCCAGCTCCCCCCCGCAGGCTACACCAGGTCTCCGGGACAGCCTGCAGAGGGGGTGCCTGGGCTCCTTGTGTTCATGTGCCCAGAGTTCAGGCCTGGAAGGACGCGCTGGGGCTGGGGCTTGTCTCCTGGAAGAGCTGTGCGCGAGCCCACGAGGAATCAGAGAGAAAGGATGTAAGAGCTCATTGCGGGTGCTTGTTGTTCAGTCACTCAGTCGTGTCCGACCCTGCATCCCCCATGGACCGCAGCACGCCGGGTTTCCTGTCTTTCACTGTCTCTCAGAATTTGCTCAGACTCATGTCCATTGAGTTGATGATGCCATCTAACCGTCTCATCCTCGGTCACCCCCTTCTCCTCCTGCCCTCAATCACATGGAGCTGCCCAGGTTCATATCCTGATTCTGTCACCCAATAGCTCTGTGACATTAGGCAATATATTTAACCTCTCTGCACCTCAGTGTTGCAATCTGTAAAATGGGAATGATACTAATAGTACCGACCTCCTGGATTTATTGTGATGATTAAACGAGTTTACAGATATAAGGCAATTACTGGCACATAGTGAAGCTCCATAAACGCTGCCTATCATTATTGCTGTTTGGCTTCTTTTATGATCGCTCTTCTAATATTATCACCCTTTTGATTTCTGGAACACCAGAGCACAGACCTCACCAATTGCTAAGAAGTCAGCTCTCAAAGCTGCCCTGCAAGATGTGAATCTGTCCACCAGAGGGATGAGCAGG